GCGCACCTTAATCCAGGTGCCGGCGATTGCGGGCAGCACCACGCGCACCGCCGGCGAGGGCGCGGCCGCCGCGGCGGCGTCCACGCGCACGGCGCTTTGGGCTGCGAGGGCCTGTCGAGGGCAGATGGGTTTCGAGGGAGGGTGGGGGCAGAGGTGTGTATGAGCAGGGGCTAGGGGGACTCGGGCAATGGGCGGCGCCGCGACGCGCCGTCTGATGTGGGGCCGCAGCCTGCGGACTTTTGCACTCTCTGCCTTCGGGTGCTCTCACTACACCGTATAGATAACCCGATGTGCCGTATCAGAACCCTCCAGGGGCCGCCCGCCGCCGCGCCGCCGCCCGCAAGCTGTGCGGGACGCGGGCGCGCGGGCCCCCTCCCGGCGCGCGGCGGCGGGGGCATCCCTGCATGTCGAAGGATTCGCAAGCTCTGGGTGCTGCTGAAAGAAGTTGACACCGCGCGAACATCTTTTGACACCCGGCGGCCGCGCCGCACTGATGACAGCCCATGCATGAGCGCGCCAGGGGCGCACGACTGTACCGCCTTCCATCCCATCGGGCCACCCTCACCTTCAGCTGCAGCAGGCTGAGCGCCCAGGCCGCCGCCACAACCACCGCCAGGTCAGCGCAGCCGCGCACGAAGAGCAGTGCGACGACGGCGGCGATGACGGCGGTCGACGCCGCCGCGAGCGCCGCGGCGCGCGGCGCCGCGCACAGGGCCGAGCCCGCGCTGGCAGACGAGGGGGCGCGGCGCTTGCCGCCGTCGCACTCGCTGGCAGGGGCGGCGGCAGCGGCGGTGAGGTGCACCGCGGGGGCCGGCTGGGCTGCGGCGCGGGCCGCGAGCCATTGGGAGGGCTTCGCCTGTGGCGCTGAGGAGCGGTCGCTGCGTCGCCTGCGGCGGAGGAGCGCCGCCGCCACAACAGCGACCGCCACCGCCACCCTCAGCGGAGAACGCTTGCTGCTGGAATCAGCCACCATTGCTGCACCGCACAGCGTAGCTAAGCTTGCGATGGGCTAGCTGCGTCGGACAACGCCCGCCACGAGCGAAGCGCGTCCCCGGAAGCAAAATCACACCACTAATGTATATATCTGAAGCAGCTTCATATACCGGTAAATTCTGCTGCACAAAGCACCCTGGTGCAGAATGGAAGATCAAATCTCCCAAAGGACGAGCGCCAAAGGGGGAAGGGGGATGTACCGTATTGTTCTGGAGCTGAACACTTCCCGAGTCAAAATTCTTCCTTGCGCCTACCCCACGATGGGCGCCAGCCCAGGCGGGGTAGCATGGCGCACCTGCGGTACGGGTGGGCAGTAGGCCGAGCTGCGGCCAAGCGATGCTGATTTGGCCTCCAAGAGGCTGCAGCAGCCAACGCCAGCATGAGACGATATGTTACATATCCACATAAACATGCGCTCTTAACAAGCGGTGCAGTTGAAGACTGCACGCGGCCGCGGGCGGTCAGCTCATTGCCCTGCAGCCCGCAATCATCGCGCCGCCTCGGGCGGAGGTGCTGGCAACAGCAACCATCGAGGCTGTGGCGTCATGTCCCGGCCGCTGCGCCCTCCACATTTGCGCCACGCGGCTCCTAGGTGTGCGCGCCACACGCGCGCGGGCAGCAAGGGAGGTGCTCGATTCGGGTTGAGGGCGGGGGGCGCAGGCGCAGGGTGTGAGAATCGAACGCAGTCGCCGGAGAGCGGAGTAAAACGGCAACAGGGGGCTGAAATCGCGCCGGTGCGGTTTTTTATTCGGAGTGCGTCTTGAAAGCCAAGCGAAAGGGGCACATGCGGCAAGCACGCCCAACGCACAACGGCACCAATGAACATGGGCTGCGCCACAAAGGGCAATCAACCGCAACACAGGGCGGCGCAGGCGGCCTGCCGGCTGTGTGAGCGATTGTCGTTGGGCGCCTGCCAGAACCATGTGGATGCAGTACATACCATGCCAGCACATGCGCGGTCCAACCCATCCCTCGCACGCCCGGGCCCGCGGCGCGGGCACGGGGGGCGCGAGCGCACGGATGGCGCCACCAAAACGGGCCCTGCATGCATGCCCCTCCTCCGCCTGCCTCGCGTGCAGTGGCGGGCTGGATTGGGGACGAGTCAGAGTGCTGGACGCGGGTGCTAGTGCAACCAGTGTGCGCGGTCGCCCCTTGATGAGCCATGCGGCAGAGCAGGCCTCGCGTCACGAGCCTGGCCAGCAGGCGAGGTTGCAAGGCCAACCGCATCAGGCATTCACAACTTTATACTTGCGTGTATTTATTCTAGTTCGCGTTGATTGCGACGCGGTGCACCCGTATGTACAGAATCTTCTGTTGCACACGCTTTTAGCGGGGGTGCCGGCAGCGGTCGCGGGCGTGGACTCGAATCGAGGCCAGAGCGACGCGCAAGGGTGCATGAAACGGCAAGCCAGCTCGCCGGGTCGGGCGGCGCGGCTGGCGTATTTATGGCTGTGCAGCGCAGGGCGGAGCGTTCGTCACGGTGTGTTGCTTTTGGTTCAAGCTGCGGTGCGTGCGCCTTGCGACGGCAGATGCAAACCAGTCGTCCAGAAAAGGGCGTGCACGTGCCCGCGTTCGTTGTGCGCGGCGCGGCGCAGTGCGGCGCTGCGCGGCGTATGTAGCGCAGCGAGGGTCCAACACGCGGAGCGGGGCCGCGCGGGCGGCCCAATCGAAGGGGCCGAGCGCATCCCTGCTCAGCGCAGGAGCGCTCGCTGCATGCCTTGGAGCCGGCTGCTGGTCAAAGTTCCGCCGGACCCCCCTTAAACGAACCTCACCAAAACCAGGGAGGTTAAGGCCTGCCGCACAGGCCTCAAACCCCTTGGCGGATGGGCTCACGGGCCGCCAGGCGCGGGCGCCGCGGGCAGCTGGTTGTTGACCGGCAGGCAGCCCCTGCCCCTCGCGGCCCGCGCCGTCTTGAACAGCGTGATCACTGCGGTCGCCTTCGCCGGCGGCGGGTTCGCTGGCGCGCCCACGGCGGGCGGCGGCAGGCCGAGGAGCGGGCCGTTTGCGTCCCAATTGATCAGCGTGAGTGTCAGCTGCTGGCTGTTGGCCGTGTACTTCTTGAGCACGTCCACGTAGGGCGGCTGCACCGTCGACGACTTCGTCGTCTCCCCGTTGACGATCGGAACGCCGATGCCCGAGGCAACGACGTTGCCCGTCTGGCACACGCGCTTCCTGCGCTTCGTGTCCTTGAACTGCGGCGTGCAGAGCTCCGCAGATACCGCGGTCGGCAGGCCGGCCGCCGTGGGGACCTTGCACGAGACGCCGCCCGCGGGCGGCGCGCGCGTCGCGATGCGGCCGATGGGGATGTCAAAATTCGTGAAGGCGCGGTTGGACTCGCCATAGAAGCAGGGCAGGGGGCTAACCAGGACGGGTGCGACGTTGCCATAGTTGGTGGTGTCCGATACAGTCAGCAGCTTGTCGCATTTGACCGACTCGAGGCCGTTGGGGTATGCGATCTGGAGGGTTCCGATGCGGTAGCTGCCGATCGGGAACACCACCCGAGTGATGGGTAAGAGGGTGTACGAGGCATTGAATGAGATGAAGGCGTTGAGGGCGGCCGAGCCGACAGAGTTTGCGGTCCTGCAGGGGGAGGGGCAGACAAGAAGCTTGGGGCCGGGCCAGCTGTGTAAGCGGTCAAACAATGGTCAAACATTGGTGAATGGCAAGGTCTGTGCTGCATCTGCTGGCTTCATGCTGGCAATCATGTGAGAGGTCCGAGGTTCAAGCAATGTTGAGGGCTGGCACGGTCGCCGTTGTACTTGGTCTCGTTTCAGCCCCAGATACAATTCTGTCGCTTGCAGCAGCCCAATGTGGCGGCACGGCTGCGAGCATGCCGCAAGCCGCCAGCAATACAAACGGCAGCGGGCGGTGGCACTGCTGCGGCAGACAGGGCAGCCCTGCCGGCCGGCCCGCCAAAAGCAGTGGGCGTGCGCGTGCGCGTGCGCGTGCTTGCGCGAGCGCCCCTTGCTCGTGCGCAGCCAGCACGCCGGCCGCCGCTGCCATGCGTGGAGACGGACAGGCGGATGGCGCGCCGCACCCACCATATGGCGTTGGTGGTGACCATTGTGGTGGGCTTCAAGTTGTTCGGGAAGTTGGGGTCGGCAGGGACCGGCGGGACGAGCGCGGCCGGCAGCGGCGGGCCGCCCATCTGGTACTGGCAATCTTGGTCGAGGGCGGTGGCCGCGATGGGGACGACCAGGTCTCGGCAGATCTGCGGGCGGCGGAAGTTTGGCGGGCACCGGCGGGGGGCATTGAGGCATGGAGGAGGTCTGGCGGCGACGGGCGCGGGCCCGAATGCGCATTGAGCGTGAGGCCGCGGTGCACGGCTGATGGTGGGTCAGGAGCGGGCCCGGCACGACAACAATCTGGCAGATGACGAGCTTGTCGGTAGTTTTGGACTGATGGAGTTCGTTTGCATGGGTGCGGCAGGCTGCATTTAGGCATATGCCATGCTTCTCTTCGGCCTCCGTGTGCTTTTTTAAGCACTGCTCAGTGCTTGCGAAAGCGGAAGCGTGAGCGGGCGGCAGACGCGCCCGCAGCACATATGCAGCAGCCTGCAATGCATTTGTGCGCAGGCCACGGCCTGCCGTCATCCACGCAGAGTGCGGAGGCCCCACAAGCGCAGATATCCGCGTACGTATCCGGCGCACCGGGGTGCAGGCTGGGACGACGACGGTGCTTGGGGGGCAGCGCTGAGTGACGCCCTCAAGGATCCTGTAAGTGTAAGTGTGGCCTGGTCACGCAGTCGGGGAATATGGTGGGGGTGGGGGAGTACGCGAGCGTCGTCCGAGATCCGCTGTTGAAAAGTGCAGAAAACGGCTTTCTGAGAGTCAGGCTTCATCCCACCAAGCGTCGGTCCCCAGCGCGCACGCATGCTGCAGTGCGCGCCGGGCGCTGCCTCATACGAGGGGGCGTGCATCCATACTCGACACTGCTGCCTCGCGCTGCCTGCACTGCCGCCTGGCAGGCAGGGAGGGCAGCACAGGTCAAAGGGCAAGGCGCGGCGTGCATCTCTGGCAAACGCGCCGCGTCGCCCTCGCGCCCCCAGTAGCGCCCACCTCGCAGCAGCGTGAAGAACGTGTCTGCCCCTACAGTGGTGATGACAGGCGGCGGGGCGATGGGGGTCGGCGGGACATTGGCCACAAACTCGACTGTGATGCCGGCCACGGTTGTGGGAGGGGTGACAAGGAAGAAGGCGGCCTGAGGGGAGATTTTGGGCGGGTGGAGGTGGGAGGCGAGACAGGGCAACTGTTGACTGCTGTATGTAGGGCATCCAAACGCAGCCCTGGGTCAGGAAAGGCAGGACCTGCGTCAAGCTACGATCAAAGCAAGCGCCTGAATTTGGGGTTCTGCGCGATGTCCATGTTTCGCTCGTTGTCGTGCGGATTCTAGCAGGCAGGGTCTGGCAGCGTAATGCACGCCACGACACGCCATGGCAACAAACACTGACTATTACGCACGGGTTTGGGACCTGCGGTCCCTTTCAATTTGGTTGTTCCCCACCTTGTTGACGGTGTAGGTGTCACAGCTGCCAGTCGGCAGCAGCAGAGGCGCGATTCCGGAGCAAACAACGTCGGCGTTTGCTGGGACGGGCGAGATGACGGCCACAAGCAGCAGTGCAGCTGCCGCGCCAAGGGCGGCAGCAGGGCGAGCCGCGGGCACCATTGCGTCGTCGATAGCCCTGCACCGCAAGTGTTTTTGTTCATTCACGCTTCCATGGGCGTACTTGCGAGGTTGGGGCCGAGCGGGCAGCGAAAGGCGAAATCCACATCGGGCTGTGTGACCCGCCGGACCACAGCTGGCTATGCTAAGGTTACCAAAGCTAGGTCCGGCAGGCTATCCGACGAACGCACACAAACACAGTCAGACACCGTGACCAGCAGCCACATGCCGCTTGCGTGCGTGGCCTCCCCTCGGAAGTGTTTTTGCTCTGTGCACTGCCTGGCCGCGGTTTTTGATGAAACCAGGAAACCTATCAGGTGCTTCTCACCGGCAGAGAGGGAGCTGTAACGGAGTAGATCAGCGATGGACAGCAGGTCTGCAAACTGACGTGTTGGTTGGAGACTGGTAGGGACCACAAACGCGTGATTGAACATTGACGGCAATCAATCCTGGGCTCTCTTGAAAACGGCTGACTTGTTCTCACCCCCTCGAGAGAGCACGAGTCACCCCGTGGAGAGCTTCGTGGCCGCGGGGAGGTTCGTGCCCAAAAAGGGGTCGACCGCTGACCTGCAGAACAGGCCCATAAAAACAAAATTTTCACGTGCGCGCCACCGGGCTAGTGGACTGCAGCGCCCGTTCAGTGGCCACGGATGATGGACCAGACAACGGGCTAGGTCATATCTTTATACCAGCCGCAGCGCATCGTCCACGCTCATGTACTGATACCACAGAAGTATCTAAATTTAGAAACCTCTTGTTGAGATAGGGAGTGTGCAACTCATGGCCGTACAAGGCTGGGAGGTTGACTGCCCAACACAAAAAATCGTTTGCAGTGTACAGGTCTGGCGCGATCCCAAAGCCCTTCGCCTCGCACGCCACGCTGGAGCCGTACGAACAGCGATTGGTCTTGTCATGAAGGCTTTGGCGGCCACGACGCCTTGAAGGGAAGGCTGGTGCGCCCTGATATGTGCACGCGTGCGACAACAGGCCGTGGCACTTGGACAGCGTCCAGGTTCCCGCCGGGCAGCGACGGTAGCGGAGTGGCACAGGCTACCGCTGGCGTTTGCATGTAAGAGTGCATTAGGCATGGTGTATTTGCATGGATCGCGCACATATTCAGGCACGAAATGAGCAGGGTGCTGGTCATCCAGCGTCCCGCACTATCCATTGATCCGCACGGGTGCCGACACGTGCCGGCTACCATAATTCCTGCAGTGTGTCAGCGATGGGGCCCGCATGCTTTGCAGCACGTGAGGTACTGGCATGCTCCTCTGAGCAGAGGTTTGTCATTGTGGGGCGCGGGACATTCTGCGCGCCTGCTGCTACTCAATGCTGCAGTGACATTCGGTCGACGCAATGGTCCCGGGTGGCGAAACAACCGCGCACCCACAGACAAGCTACTCTGTAGGCGTTTGAGATGTGATATTCTTTCATTCATGATTGCGAAGTTGCATGGGCTTGGTCAATCGCTGGCTTGCTGCGACTCAGCGACGCGCTTCCCATTTCGGAAGGCTGCGGAATGCCGGCTAGCAGCTGCGAGGTCGTGGGATATAGATTATTACCAGGGTATGAATATTGTGGCATACACGGTGGAGTGTGACGGCAGTGCACTGCAGCACTGGTGACATGTAGCAGCACAGCACGCAGCTACATGTGACCCATGGGCGTTGGTACATTGGTTGGCTGGGTCTACAGCTGCGTCAACGTTTCGCGAACCTCATCCGATAAAAGTGCGCGGCTAGTGCCTGGTGCCTGTTGATCAGGCTTGCGCTGTTGCGCATGCTATGCCTGCCAATGCTATGCCTTGAAGACGGCAGGCGCGACGTGAGCAGCAGCGAGATGACTTGCAGGCCAGGAGGACGCAAATGAGATAAGCGATCCTAACCAGATCCAAGCAGTAGCAGTAGCAGCAGCAGCAGCAGCAGCAGCAGCAGCAGCAGCAGCAGCAGCAGCAGCAGCAGCAGCAGCAGCATACACGCAAGCGTGCATTTGTTGAGTCTGCACCCCTGCAGTATGGCAACAGACCAAATGGATTGGCGCATTGCTGCCTAATTTCCCACAGTGCTTGCTGTATCCATGCATGTGTTGCCGGTGTCATGCACACTGTTGCATGGTCACTGCTTCATGAGTCAACGGACCATGTCTTGATCGCACATGCCAGCTATAAATGATGCATCCCGGGAGCCTGGAGGCACCTTTAACACACCTTGCATGCTTATGAGGCCCACAACAAGGCTTGTGGGCTAACCAAATCATAGGAAGGTCAAACATTGTTGATTCTGGTCAGCGCAGAGTTAGATGACACACGCGACGTATCCATGATTGATTTGAGGGATTTTAAAACCATGAACGTCTCAGTTACCACTCGTTTGGGTGTCAGAGACAGGGAAAGTTGCCGAGGTCCGAGCATGACCCTTCGCGATTATGGAAGTTACTCGTGAAGCGGAGGTCTTTAGTGCAAATTCGAGGAGGCTCGATCGAGGCACTTAGAACGGACAACGTCGGGCGACGACGACGCACGAGATGCGCCGACACCTACAAAAACAGCCATCGAGCAGCTTGCGCTTGCAGCGCCACCAACCTGGGCTGTAAAGCTTGGTCTGCCTTCGTGATGGATGCAGTTATTGCGCCGCCATGTGCTGAGGAGGGCGGTGGAGGCGCTTGCAATGGCTGTGTTGGGCGGGTGGTGAGCGTGGCGCAAGCGGCTGCGCGTGCAGCAGTACCCATGTCAGCAGCAGCAGCAGCGTCGTCAACACCAGGGGGCACAGCAGGGGCAGCGGCGGCAACGCGGGTGGATCCTGCGGGTTTGATCTCTCAGCAAGCTGCCTCGAATCAGCCAGGCGTGCCGCCGTCGCACCAGCAGCCGCAGCGGCCATGGCAGCAGCAGCAGCAGCAGCAGCAGCAGCAGCAGCAGCAGCAGCAGCAGCAGCAGCAGCAGCAGCAGCAGCAGCAAACAGAAGGGGGCTACACACGCGACCACGGTGCGCGCCAGAAGAGGGCGCGGAGGCCATACGTGCAGCTGCCCTGGAGGTAGGACGGGGACCAACGGCTCGTCTGGCCGCGGCCATAATCAACGAAGTGCACTAGGCACTCCTCCGTGCTGTGCGCGAATGCGAGCCGCCCCAGCCCTCTGCCCCCAGAGGGGAGGGGGCCGCAGATGTCGCAGGCCGCCCCGCAACGTGCCAGCTGCCTGGAGCCAAGCAGCAGCACGCGCTGTATGTCTAAATTTTGTTTGATTCACAGGCAGCACTGCAGCAGGTAAGTCAAGAGGTGCCGTGTTATCTTCTGATCAACCTGCGCACCACGTCGCGCCCTACCGCTCGCGCACCCGCCTTTGGCGGCCGCCTCCCCGGTGTCTGCCCGCATGCAGCTACCCGGGTCTGGATGCCTCGTCATCGCTCCGCGCGCTGACGACGGTCGGCGCCACCCACCAATTCGCCGTCCAAGGGTGAGGCCACTTCCTTGGACCCAACGACCGGCAGCAGTCCGGCAGCAGTCTGGCAGCAATCCGGCAGCAGTCCAGCGGACACAGGAGCGCCCGCCGCGGCGGCGCATTGGGAGACACCAGATACAGCAACAAGCCCGCATGCGCGCACCTGCATGCCTTCCTGCCTGCCTGCCTGCCTGCCTGCCTGCCTGCCTGCATGCAGCTCTACTTGCTTGAAAGGATGTTTGAAGCCAGACAAAACTAAACGAGGGCAAATGAAACTGTCAAACCTCGACCGCACCCCGCGCCCCGCCCCCCTCTCCCATTTGCAGCTACGCGCTCGCGCGCTCCCTCGGCAGCGGCGCTCGCCTCTGCTCCGACGCCTTTGGCGCGGGGGGCCGCGCGTTCCGCCTGGAGGTCTACCCCGCGGGCCTGGCCGCGGACTGCTGCACGCACATCGGGGTGCTGCTGACGTCACCGACGGCTGGGGCGGGGGCGGGGGCAGGGAAGCCGGCGGCGGGGCAGCAGGTGCTGTATGAAATCGCGATCCTTGACCAGGTGGGGGCCGGATGAGAATGCCGTCTCGATCAGAAAATAATAAATAGACGAATCTTGTGCAGAAGTATCATTGTAGGCTTGCTGGGCTGTTGACCTCGCCGCGCTGTGTCGTGCCGTGCCATGCGTGCTGCCGTGCCAGGAGACACGGCTCGTGCTGCTTGCCGCTCTAGGCTCGTCTGCGGCGCGTGTCACTGCCCCAAGCCGCGCCCGGCACTGAGGCAAGCAGGCACCTTGAACGCCCAAGCACCCACTTACCCAACCCGCACGCGGACGCGCAGAGCGGCGCCGGCCGCCACCTCGCGCGCGCGTCGCGCCCCGGCGCGCCGCCGCTGTTTGCGCCGCTGGCGGGCGTGGTGGCCGCGTACCCGCGCTTTGTGCGCGCGGCGGCGCTGGAGCGGCGCGCGGCGCGGTACCTGGCCGGTGACAGGATCGTATTCAGGTGAGGTTGGCTGTGTGTAGCAGTTATCACCAGATATGGTATGATAGTCGAGATATTACGGGTATCATCGGCTAGTACCTGCTGCTAGTACCAGCCTGGTAATATCTGCAATATCACCATATGGGTTCAGACTGCTGTAGTACCAGATGCTTGCACCTGAATGTGATTGCATGATTTAGTGGCCCACTCCACCCGGGGTAGTGCAATGCTGCACGCGTGGGTCTCAATCCGTGCACAAGTGCACTGACAGAGAGCGAGCCGCAGTCAAAGTGCGCGACCAGGCTGCGGGCTGCTTTGGCTGGCACCTGCAGCTGCGCTGCTGTGCGCACGCCCGACACATCCCTGCCTCGCGGTTTTTGCTACACTCAGAGTGACAGTTGAGATCATCAGGAGCTGGAGCGGCGCGCCGGGCCAGATGCTGCAGCCGGGCGAGTTCCTGCCCCCAAGCCCCATCCACGGCGCCGGCGCTGCCGGCCTGGGGCCGGCCCCGCCGCAGCTGGGCGCGCGTGACGTGGCGTCGCGTGGGCGCGTGGCTCGATGCGCAGCGGCGTGGCAGCCACAGTGCGATTTTAGTGGCTGCAGCGGCGAGGCGTGCGCGTCGGCGTGGGCGGCGGCGGCGGGGCCGCCATCTGGGCAGCAGCAGCAGCAGCAGCAGCAGCAGCAGCAGCAGCAGCAGCAGCAGCAGCAGCAGCAGCAGCAGCAGCAGCAGCAGCAGCAGCAGCAGCAGCAGCAGCAGCAGCAGCAGCAGCAGCAATGGTCGGGCGCGAACGAGGGCCGATGTCCCTGCGCCGCTTGTTCGTGGCCGGGGCGGTGGGTGGCGGAGCCTGCAGCCCACGAGCCCGCACCGGCTAAATTGCAAGGTCACTGCAGCGCAGGCATGCACGGATGCCCGCCGGTGTGCCACTGCTGCCAGCCTGCGCGCCGCTGCCAGGCCGCGCCCGAGGCATGCAGCTGCTGCGGGGAGGGTGCCGACCCTCAGCTCAGCGGGCCGCACCATCCAGTGCCCCAGAGCGCCTGCGGGCCATGGCACGCCCAGCCTCCGCCGGCCCCGCGCGCGCCGCGCGAGCGGCGCTGCGGGTGCCCGGACTGCAGTCCAGAGGCGCAGCCGGCGATGGCCTTTGCGAGCGGCCCGGCCTCTGCGCCGCTCGCGCCCGGCCACCCTTGGCACGTCTGGATGGGCTGAAGCGGCTGGGTGCCCGTAGGCGGGCCTTTCCGCTGGTTTCCGGGACGCTCGGGCGGAGTCGCTGAGTTGGCTGGGGGGCGCGTGTGGCCTCACAGCCTCGGAGCCCTCCCATGCTGCCCGCTGCACTGGCAGCAGCGCGCGCTCTCAAAACCCTAACATTTTCTATGGGTGCCCAGGAACGCCGCCGCCGCTTGCCAGGCTCGGCTGTATTTGTATGCCACAAACATGTGTAACCCGATTACAGGCTCAAGACTAGGACGAGTTTTCCCTGCCAGACAGAAAGAGCGGGCGCCGCGACGAGGCCCCACCCACAGCCCCCGCAGGCCGCCGCTCGGCCGACCGGCAGCCGCGGCGCGCGCCGCGTGATTTTGCGCAGGCCGCCGCCGCCGTCGCCGGCCGTGTGCCGAAGCGCAGCCCCAAGCGGACGGCATCCGCCGGGCGCGCGGGTACGGGGGTGCATGAGGTCATGCCGCGGCCCGGATCAGATCAGATCAGCAGTTCTTGCCGACGATCTTGGCGGGGGCAATCTCCAGGATGTTGCCGCGCTGTGTTGAACGACGATGTTTGAAAGGGCGGGGGATGCGTGGGACGGTCAGGCGTTTGCAGATTGCCACTGAGCTGGCGCGAGAGTGCGGGGCGGTGGGTGGCCTCCAGGAACGTCCATGTGCGCGGCAAACAGGGCTGGAGGAAGTAACAACCCGCCCCAGAGGAACCGCTGCACCAGCAGTGGCCGTCAACCCCAGCACGTGACACACACACACAGACACATGCGTACACGCGCGCCACACACGCACACACACACGCAACCACACAAAGCTGCGGCAGGCGGGCGCCAACCACACGTGCCGCCGCGCACCTTGCCGGGCACGCTGCCCTTGACGACCAGGGCGCCGCGCTCAGTGTCCACCAGCAGGACCTGCGCGTTGGTGTAACAAGTGAGCAACAAATGTGTTGTTGTGAAAAGCGCGTGATCATACGACAAAGCAACAACGATTTCGGCGTTATGAAAAAGTTCACGAAAGGTGGGCCGACAGCATTGCGGCGTCGAGCACGTGAGGAGCCGCGTTGCGGCGTGCCCTGACCCACCGCCGCGGACTGTTGCCCCCCGACGCCCCCTGGGGCCGCGCCCCTCCCTCGCCCCGCGCCGCCCGGCCATCTCCGTCATTCAATAAACCCCGCCCGCAAACAAGATGAGTAGCCCCCGCCTCACCTCGAGGGCCCGGACCTTCCGCCGCACGTTGCCCATGTGGCCGGCGCTCTTGAGGCCGGGGAAGGTGCGGCCGGGGGTGGAGCCGGGGCCGGTGGAGCCGTGCTCGCGGTGGGACTTGGAGCCGTGGGTCATCAGGCCGCGGCGGTGGCCCCACCTCTTGATGGTGCCTGCGCGCGCGCGCGTGTGTGTGTGTTTGTGTGTGTTATGTGTGTGTATCAGAGGCAGCAAGAGGGAAAGACAGCAGCCAAGTGTCACGGAGAGAGAGGAAGAGACGGAAGGAGAGGGCGGGAGGGAGGCCCTCCAGTCTTCTTGTGCCCGCTGCCAACGCCTGACCCGGCATACCCCTGGCGCCGTGCACAGCCGCCGCGGCCCCTCGACGGCCAGCCGCCTGGGCGCATACCCGCCCACAGCCACCCGACGCCGTCCCATGTGCATCACCAGCGGCTGAACCGCGACGCGGCCCGCTGCCCTGCACTCCCCTCGCTCTCGCCTCCGCCACAGCCCCGGCACTCGCCAGCAGCTCCCCTCCCCGAATAAGTCCAAACCCCGAGCGCCCAAGTCACATCCGCCCGCCCAAGCCGCCACCGACGCCACTGTTGCCCCTGCCGCCACTCCCCCTGCCCTGCAAGCCATGCACCTGCGACGCCTGCGGTGATCTACCATGATCTGCCGTGATCTGGCGCGATCCGCTCACCCTGGAAGCCCTTGCCGATGGTTGTGCCGGCGATGTCAATGTGGTCGCTGACCTTGATGATGGCGTTGACGTCCAGCTCCTGCCCCGGGGTGTACTCAGCAACCTTGGACGCATCCTTGAGCTGCGGGGTGTGAATGTGTGTGTGTGTGTGTGTGTGTGTGTGTGTGTGTGTGTGTGTGTGTGTGAGAGGACTGGACTGCCAACCGCCCTGCGCCCACCCCTTTCAATCTCGTCCGCCTGCCGCGCGCCCGCCCCGCAGCCTGCGTTCTTCCTCTCTGCGCCAACACACACACACGCACGCACACACACTCATACACACGCACACACACACACACACACACGCACACACACACACACAACACACACACACACACACACACCAGCCCCCTCACCTTGAACTCCCGCAGGTGCTTCAGGGGCTTGCAGCCGGCCTTCGCCAGGTGGCCCAGCTCGGGCTTGCGCACCTTGCGCTCGGCAACCACCTTGTAGCCAACCTGCGCATGCATGCGCGTGGGTGCGTGGTGGTCGATGCCATGCGCCGCGGCCGTCGGGAGCGCGCGGCAGCGTGACGCGCCTAGGGCTTGCGTGCTCGCCGCCGCCGCCGCTGCCGCTCGGCGGCCGAGGGCTGCGTGGGGGCCAGCGGACGCCAGCCGCGCCGCTGCGTCCGTTTCGCCCTGCCACGGCCCCCAGCCCCCGTCCCGATGCGAGGCCGCCCGAGTGCGGCGGGCGGAGGCCGTTGTGTACAGACGCGCCGCTGCTGTCTGTTTCTCAATGTCGCGCCGGGTGCCGACCCCGGCAGCGACGGGTCCGCGGCGTGCGGCTGCTGCAGGCGCACCTGGACCGCGGCGTAGCCGTCAGTCTCGGGGGTCTTGACCGCCGTCACGTAGTTGCCGCTCTCCAGCGAGATCACCGTGGCCGGCACCGCCAGACCCGCCTCGGTGAAGTAGGTCATCATGCCGGCCTTGGTGCCGAAGATGCCCTGCGGGGTCGGCGGCGCGGGGGCGGGCAGCAGCGAAGTGTGCGGCGGCGGCGGCGGCGGGTAGCGCGTTCGTGGGGAAGTGCGTCCAGGAGCGATGCTGGCCCGCCAGGAGACGCAAGAATGCATTCCGTTTCCATTGCGCGATTGATTGAGAGCAATGGGTTTGCTCGCAGCCCGTGGTGCAATCTGAGCCCCATTCTTCGACGAGAGCGGCCGCACAGACGGCAACGCCTATATAAAGTATGCAAGAAACATCGCATAGAAACCATGAAACTAACTCAAGCGCCGCACTCCGGCCACGCACCACGCCCGCCTCTGCCTGCCGGGCCTGCACCACGACGGTGCGGCGGCTGCTGCTGCCCTGCACTGGCCGGAAGGAGCCAAGCTGCTGCTTCGCGGTGCGAGCGCCCGCTGGGGAGAAGGCGGTGAACGCCCTCATCGTTGCTGTGTCTGGCCTCGCTCCGTCACAGAGGCAGCACGAAATGCCAATGGCCCTTTACAAACACGTCGATCAGGATTTATCGGGATTGGTCATAATATTGCGCAGCCCGCGTACGCTCGGTCGCTCGCTGCATCGCCCCATTGTCTCCCAGTCGCTTGTAGTGGCCAGCAGTGGCAAGCACGTGCCACGAGACCATATGCCCAGGGCTTGCTTGGGAGCGCTCATCCCTCCCATTATGACAGTTATCCATCTCACTCGGCTTAGTTAGCTCACCGCAGAGCTCTGGCCATGTGTGTATGAGCTGGGTGGCTACTCACTGCCCCAAACCACCCCAATGTGGCTCGAGAAAACAGCCAAGCACCTGGAGACTGAGCACGCGCGCCAGCTACGGCCGTTATTGGTCCCAACACAACCTGGGCGCGACGCCCTTGAGCGCGCAGCCCAAGCAAATGACAGAAATGCAAACAGCGACACTCTCAAGGGGCCCACAGACCTCAGCTTCGTGGTGTGCGCTGGCCCTGTCCCTGGTTTGGTTGGAAAGGAAATGAATCACTTGGCCGCCGCTGTCACCTGCTGGGCGGCCCCGCGTGCAGTCAACAGATATCCGTTGTCCGCCGCGGCTCCAATCTGAGACGCGCCATTGACGAGCTACGCGCGCTGAGCGCGCCGCCAAGAGCCGCCCCCCGCTCGCGCCGGCTGTCCGGGCCGCCCCGTCGCGCTGCATCCTTTGTTTACGAATAATTTGGTTCGATGAAAACCTCTCCTATAGCAATGCTGGCAGCACCCCAGCTGAGCCAACAATCTGGTGCGGCCAATCCCGTGCTGGACTACTCACAGCCAGATGACCGCGGCCTCGGTTTGTTTACCATTGTGCTATTGCAATTGGAGAAAGCGCGAGAGCCCGCGGCGCCCGTCGGGGGCCGCAGCCGCGCGGCAGCCCGGCGTGTCGCCCCCCACCCCCGGCCGCCCGCCCTAGCGGGTGCTCTCCCGCGCCGTCCACCCCGCGCCCCACGAGCGCCCCCCGCCTGCGCCGGGCCGCGCCGCGCCCGGGCCCGCGCCCGGGCCCGGGCCTGCAGACACGTCAGGCACGCGAACGCGCACGGCGCTGGGGTCGTCCTCCGCTTCCAAGTCGCCCTCCTCCAGATCATCCTCCTCCAGATCACCCAACCTCGGACCGATCCGTGCGTCGGCCTCGGCCTCCGCCTCGGCCTCGGCCCGCATCGCCTCGAACGCCTCCTCGGCCTCGGCCCTCGCCGCCTCAACCTCCTCATCGCTCGGCATCTCCGCCCCCGCCGCGGCGGCGGCGCCCGGCGGGATGACGCAGCCAAGGGCGAGCGCCTCGGCCAGCAAGCGCCGCGCGTCGAGGCCCTCCGCGCCGGCCGAGGTTAGCAGGTCCCGGATCTGCTCGGCGTCCAGCACCGTGGGCGCCCCCTCGTCTTCCGACTCCTCGGCTTCCGCGTCCCGGCCCAGCTCCTCGTCCTCCCGCTGCTGCCGCTGCTGCTGCTCCTCCGCGGATGGGAACCGCGACGGCGACACCTCGCCGCCCTGGAAGCTGCCGGGCGGCTGCCCGTCGCCAGCCATCTCCACGCGCCGCGGCGTCGGGCGCGCGACGCGCGGGACGAGGTCGCCCTCGGCCGCCGCCGCGAACGGCGCCCGCATGGAGGCTGTCGTGCCGGGCAGGCGCGCCCCGAGGCCGGTCCCCGGCCCGCGCGCGCCGCGCGCGGCCCGCCCGCCGGCCGCCGGCTGCACGTGGCCGCCCGGCGGCTGCCCCTTGCCATCGCCCTGCTGCTGCTGCTGCGGCGGCGGCGGCGGCGGCGCAGCCGCGCCTGCCGGCCGCCCGACGCGCGTCACCACGGACGGCGGCGGCTGCTGCCGCTGCTGCTTTTGTTGCTGCCGCTGCTGCTGCTGCTGGCCCGCGGCGGCGTACTGCTGCCTGTACTTCTCGGGCAGCTTACTAAGGTCGACAAACTTCACGTTCTTGCCCTCCAACGCCCGCTGGAACCCGGGGCGCATCCTCAGGAGCGGCTCCTCCCCCGGCTGCGGCGGCGCCGGGCCGTACGCGCCCCGCGGCGCCGCCGGCGCTGCCGGCCGGCCGGGCGGCGCGGCCGAGTACCCGCCGCCCGCCTGGCGCCGCAGGTCGACCACCTTCCCGGCAGCTTCCCGATCAAGCTTCCTGCTGACGCCCTCCTGCGTCCGGCGGCGGCGGCTCTCGAGGGTCTCCACAGGCGGCCGCCCAGAAGGGCCGGCGGCTGCGCCGGGCGTCCCCGCGGGTGGTAGCGCCTCAGAGGCCTCGACGACAGGCAGCCCACCGCCGCCGGTCACGCGCGCCTGCTGCTGCTGCTGCTGCTGCTGCTGCTGCTGCTCGTCCTGCGCCGCCTGGGCGCTCAGCAGCCGCGACACCTCAGAAGGGTCCGCCCCCCGCGCCAGCGCCGCGCGCACGGCCTCCAGCGCCGACCGGCCACCCTCCTCTGCGCCCTCGCCCACGGCCTTGCTGCCCACGGGCGCGCCGCGCGCCGGCGCCGGCGGCGGCGGCGGCGGCGGCGCGGGTC